ATATTGTATCCTTGACTCCAACCTCCACTGCCACCCCAGCCTCTGGTAACCACCATTCTACTCTGCTTCTATGAGTCAACTTTTTTACACTACACATATAAGTGAAATCATGCAGTTCTTGAGGCTGTTTCATCCATGCCGTGGGGTCAAACTCAGGGGTTTCCACCAAGAACTTCTTGTATTTACTAGCAACTCTCCAGAGCTCCGCTGAGTTCTTTACATCTCTTGAGTCTCAAGTCTTGAACCCCTGCCACTCTCTTATCCTGTTTTTCTGAGGACCATAATTGTCAAATATAGAGCCCAGCAGATTTTCTGATTTCTCTAAATTGCCTCTCACTCAAGATAGACTGCTTGTCCAGGAATAGATGAGGTAGAAGACAGATTTCATCAAAGGACACAGTTGCAGAGCAGATAACTTAAAATTCACTATTAGGTATTTCTGTTTTTAAAAAATTCTTTGGCTGCTTCTTCCACAGGACATTTTTTGCTGGCAAGATTTCCTCTTAGTCCTCCTGCTGCCCTGCAGGCTCAGTCTCTCTCCTGGGCTACCCGTCTTCCTCTTACACAGTTTTATGTCTTTCTTCCCCTATCCCTGATCTACATATTCTAGGGCTAACTTCTCACAGACAGATATTTCTTGCTCTGAGGAATTACATTGCTAGTTTTAAGTCAACATTTTTTAAAAGAAATAACCCAGTGCCCTGGAGTTTTGGCAGCTCCAGGCAGCCTTCCAAGGGTGAAAGAGAGAAGCTGTGTCCTGCCCACTGGGAGACAGCGCCACCTACTGCCCACTGGACATGGCTGCCCAAAACACCCAGCCAAAGATAATCCAGATAGTGGAATGACCAAGGATGCCCCGTAGTTTAAACTTAATAGGGAGATCAAGGCCAGGAATAAGGATCTGCATGGCTTTCGTGCTGAGGAAGGTTATGGCACTTGCATATGGTTAACAACTGTGCAGGAGCAGAGTGGGGATCTGAACCAACTCTTCTGCCTTCGAAGTCCATTTAGTTCCACCTCCCGGTGCTAGGAATGAATGAATTCCTTTTAAGGATGATCAAAGAAGTGAGAGGGAACCCAGGAGCCAATGCAGAGGATATTTTAAAGGAGAGAACTGTTGCTTATCTAATGTTTGAGTCATCAGTTCAGATGTGGATTGAGAAAATAATCACTAGGATTTGAGTTTAGGATTGACTTGGAGACCTTTAAGAGAGTGGCTTAAGGTGCCCAGCCCTGGGCTAGGCACAGGAGTATACAGAAAGATGGAAAGACAAAGTCCTGTCCCTCAAGGAGGTAAGTATGAGCTAAAGTCAGGGAAATTGTCAAAAAAACAAATGTTAATAAATGAAATGATAGTTTAGGAAAGGGAGATGCACATAGACCTGCAAGTTCCTCCTCCCCTTTGTGTAAATTATCATAGGCTCCTCCTCTTCTTTGGAGCCAATACTACCCCTGAGCAAGGGTCTCAGCTCCCACTCACTCACCAGCTGCTATTCTTGTTTTGTTGTTGTTGTTGTTTGTTTTTGTTTTTTTGAGACAGGGTCTTACTATGTCACCCTTGGCAGAGTGCTGTGACATCACAGATCACAGCAACCTCTAACTCTCGGGCTTAAGCGATTCTCTTGCCTCAGCCTCCCAAGTAGCTGGGACTACAGGTGCCCACCACAACACCCAGCTATTTTTTTTGTTGCAGTTGTCATTGTTTTCAGGTCCAAGCTGGGTTCGAACCTGCCATCCTCAGTGTATGTGGCTGGCGCTGTAACCACTGTGCTATGGGCACCAAGCCCAGCTGCTCTTCTTATGTAATGATCAGACTGCCCAACTGTAAGTGGAGGCTTTGGGATGAAGACTGAAGGCTGACTTGCCAGGAAAGTTTCACACAGAAAACTGAGACTTGGACTGGGCTTCATCTGATGTGAAGGATTTAGAGTAGCTTCAAGGAAAAGGTAGGAGGCCTTTTCTGCTGGGAAGAGGCAGAGCAGAGGCAGGAAAGAAGCATAAAGGAGAGGGAGAAAATGAAAATTGCCTGTCCCTTGGCATATATATAATTGTTTTACCACATGAAAAGATACTTCTCTCTCTCTCTCTTTTTTTTTTTTTTTTTTTTTTTTGAGACAGAGTCTCACTTGGTCACCCTTGGTAAAGTGCTGTGGCATCTTAGCTCACAACACCCTCAAACTCTTGGGTTCAAGTGATCCTCTTACCTCAGCCTACCAAGTAGCTGGGACTATAGGCACCTGCCACAATGCCTGGCTATTTTTTAGCTGGGCTCAGGCTGGTCTCGATCCTGTGAGCTCAGGCAATCCTCTCACCTTGTGCTGGGATTACAGACGTGAGCCACAGTGCCTGGCCCCACTTAGAATTTTAAAGATTCCATGATGTAGACACAATTTATTAAATCACTGGCCACTGGTGATTAACTCAGTTCCCTGGCCTCTCTCCCCTCCCTGGAAGTCAGAGGTGGGGTTGAAAGTTCCAACCCTCTAATCATAAAGTTGGTTCTTCCTGCAACCAGCTTCCATCCTCCAAGAGTCACCTCATAACTCAGGTATGTTTGAAAGGGGCTTAGTATAAATAATAAGATACATTTGTCTGAACATAATCCCATTATAAATTGTGGGGCATACAGACTTAGGATGGCTGGATTTTTAATTTTTGACTTTGTGATGGGTTTATTGGGGTACTAAGTGCATGTTCAACTTACAATATTTTTTACTTTGATGGGTTTATTGGGATGTAACCTCATCATAAGTGAAGGAATGTCTGTTCAGTGGTTTCAGAAACTGAGGACCAAATATACAGTGTATATTTTTAAATTATATCACAATATCACACAACCCTGCAGCAAACAGTGGTGAAGTGAGATTGAAGTAGGAGGCTATGGAGTGAGGTTTTCAACAAGAATCTTGACCAGGCATCCTCAAACTACAGCCCGTGGGCCACATGGGACCTGTGTAGGACATTTATCCCGCCCGCCGGGTATTTTGGCCGCCACTGCCTGTCCTGCTTAGCAGCCAACTTGTCCCAGGGCCTGCAGTCTGGCCTTCCAGCAGTCTGAGGGACGGTGAACTGGCCCCCTGTTTAAAAAGTTTGATGGCTCGGAGCCTGTGGCTCAAGCAGCTAAGGTGCCAGCCACATACCCCTAAGGTGGCGGGTTCGAATCCCCAGCCCGGGCCCGCCAAACAACAATGATGGCTGCAACCAAAAAA